GTCGATTGTGAGCGTCGCCGCTCATAGTCCTACAAGATGTAGGATTGCGAGCGCTACTGCTCGCAATCGGAGGCATGTTGCTAGGATTGCGAGCAGTGCTGCTCGCAAACCTAGACTTTGCTCGGATTGCGAGCGCGCTGGTAGTAGTCGTAGGTAGGCGTCACCAGTCACCTTGGGAGCGGAGCTGCTCTTAGTCCTAGAAGATGTAGGATTGCGAGCGTGGGTGCTAGCAATCGCACAGAGATGCTACGATTGCGAGGAGTGCTGCTCACAATCCTTCGACTTCTAGGATTGAGAGCGAGGCTGCTCTCAATCCTTCCGGTCTAGAAAAGAAGGTTCACCCACTGTGGCACAGCTCGCGTTACAAAACCTTGATTTGACCATTTGCGCCATTTTGTCCCTCTCGGTGCCTTCCAGAGGCAGCTGCGACCCCGCCAAGTGGACGGGGGCACTCGGCAGGTGGCGCGGAGTGCCCCCGTCCACTCGGCGGGGTCGCAGCTGCTTCTGTGCTTCCTGGGGAGGGACAAAATTGTCGCCGCCGGAGACGACTCGACGCCGCTGAGATTGGAGATCAAGCTCTGACAGGTCGCACGTCGCTCCTTTGACGCCGACGTGACTCACCCGTGCAGATCACATCAGGACACGGTCTCGACGCGCTCGGTACGACGCCTGCGACCCGTCTCGGGTCAGGTGGCACGACGCTCATCGCGCCTACCAGCGCTGCCGTACAGGTTGCCACGACGAGGTCGAGCACGCTTCTATACGCTCGCCGAGCCTTCCTTTCCATCCAATTAGGCAGCCTGGGAACGGTGGCGGTCAGAGGCAAAGCCTACGAGGGGTGGTGGAACCACATGTCACGGCTACTGCCGGCTCGACCCCACGATAGCCTCCGAAGGCTGACTTTGCGGCACCATCATCGGACGATGTCGACGAGTTGGGTCGCTCTCGCGGTAGCCAGATGACCTCTCTTTCTAGGAGCATCGGCCATGGCCGCAGGGAGCGCGGGGGAGGGCGCTGGAAGCAACACGGAGCTCCGTTGGAGACGTTTTCAAGATTAGCGTGTCAGAGTGAAATGGCACTAGCCTAAGCCCTAAGCGTGAGGTCTCGGAGGACACACGATTTCGGAAATTATTTCCCATTTCGAATTCGTAAAGCCGTAGGAGCATCTGAGCAAAATTGAGCCCGCTCAGGTGTGAACAAAAGATATCTAGGGTCGACCAGGTTTCGAACTGGGGACCTCCCGCCAGCGGAAAGGCTTCCAGCAAGATACGCGCTGTGGGAGTTGATCGTGAAGGATGGATTGAAAAACATTCGAACAAAGAAGAGGCGACGGGAGGAACCGGCAGAGGATGCAGTGACGTGACACACACACACACACACACACACACACACACACACACACACACACACACACACACACACACACACACACACACACACACACACACAGACACACACACACACACACACACCGCTCACCCACGCGCACCGGGCCTTGCACTTTAAATGCCGTGGGGCTCCTGTCGTTAGACGTGGAGACGCGAGGGTTGCCCCCCCTTGCCCCACCACCTCGTGTGTGTGGAGAAGTTTACCTTACCTTACCTCGCCTGCGTGGCGCTCGTGGACGACCCCGCAGACTTGGAGTGCGGCCGCTCGTGGTCGTACGCCCTCCAGGTCTGCGGCTTCCTCGTCCTCCTCATCGCCCTGTTCACGCTGCCTGGTGTTGAGAAGATCTGTGAGATTTGTTGTTAGTGTTGTGTATGTGAGAGGGACTCGTGGGGGGGCGCGGGAGCCCCCGGCCCACACCGTGCGCCGCGCAGCAGTGCGGAAACAGGGCTCCGGCTCTACTAGTCTCTACTAGCACCAATTTTCCGATTAAGATAGGTTAATCAGAGGGCAGATTTGGAGAGATCTCGAGGAGTACATACAGATAGACCCTCCAACCAAGAAAACTCCCTGATCGGTCGTACTGACCGCCGACAGATCACTCCAGACAGCAGACAGGCCGACATCTGCACGCGGTATAGACAGTACTTGGCGAGAAAAACGTGTACAGGCCAACCAACCAGGGGGAGATCACGCAGGAGGTAGCAGCCGAGGCGCAGTGTGAGACGGCCGTGGGAGATGAAGACCTAAGTTTTGGTCAACTCGAAGCGGAGCCGGATGCCGAGCCACTCGCGTGCGGGGAGATCCCAAGCAATGAACCATCTGGAACCTTCGTGCTGGCCTGCGAAAATTCTTTTAGTTGCTAATGGCCCTCTTGACGCATATGTTGCCAGACGACCCCGAGCGTCGGCGCCCAAATAAGGCCCATCGCGCCGATTGCCGTGGTCGATTCCAGTGAGTCTCAAAAGGCCCAGGTCGACGAAGTTGGGGTCGTTGGCCCGGTAGGAGGTTGGCGGCCGTAGCAGCCCCGGGCTTGGTGGGGTTCGCCCCCCCCTTGCTGGAATGCAAGGCCAGCTGCTCTGCAGTGTGTCACGGCTTGTGCAGTATGTCACGGCTCATGTGGTCGTCGCGTGGCGATTAGGTCCGCTCACGTCGTCGCGTCGCGTGGCGATTAGGTCCGCTGGTCCGCTCACGTCGTCTCGTCGCAGACGCGGCATCAGTGAGGCGGTCGCGTCAAGTGAGCTTCCCCCCTGCCCTCCCCTCTCCGGCTTGGGGGAGCTGTCTCTCTATCATGCTGCCTCTCAAATCACCCTTGGAGGCCTCGGGCTTCTGGTCACGGCTCTGCTGGCCTTGTGTGTCCACGTGCCGCCTGCCAAGGCGGTTGAGGAGATGAGGACCAACCAGGAGGTAGCAGCCGAGGCGCAGAGTGAGACGGCCGTGGGGGATGAAGTCCTAAGTTTTGGTCAACTCGAAGCTGATCCCCATGCCTAGCCATTTGCGTGCGGGGAGATCCCAAGTCACATCTGGAGGCTCGCCAAATTCTTTTAATTCCTAATGGGTCTGATGCGTTTGCTGCTCTCGCTTCCTCTCCTCCTCCTCTCTCACGGCTCGTCCGCTGCCACCTCGCATGGCTCGTCCGCCGCCGCCGCCGCCCCTCCGCACGCGCTGCACCCGCTGCTCACTTCTTTGCGCAGCGTGCGCGAGCGGCTCACACGCCGGCGAAAGAAGCGAATCCTGATTCTGATCTCCGACACCGGCGGCGGCCACCGCGCCTCGGCCCAGGCGCTCGCCGGGCTCATAGGGAGGCAGCACGGCGAATCGATCGAGGTTTCGATCGTTGATGTCTGGACGAACTATGCACCCTATCCCTTCAACAGGCGAGTGTCTCCCTGCCCTCCGCCCTCCGCCCTCCGCCCGCCGCCCTCCACCGCCCATGCCCTGCGCTCAGGATGGTGTCGCAATATCGGTACATGCAGTCTCGGCCGCTCCTGTGGGGCACCATGTACCGGACCTCCGCGTTCCCGCCCACCCGCTTCCTCTTCAACTCAGCGCAGCGGCTGCTCGCCAAGAGCGGCATCCGTGCGTGCATCGCGCAGCACGAGCCAGACCTTGTCATCTCGATGCACCCGCTCTGCCAGACCGTGCCGCTGCAGGCACTCGCCTCGCTCGCCCACGATGGCCCCTCCCCCTCCTCCGTCGCGTCGCCGCCGCGGCGTGGCATCAGAGTGCGCTGGAGGCCCCGCCGGCGCGCCGGCGTGAGCGGCGGCGAAGCGCGCGGACGGGTGCCGTTTGTGACGGTGGTGACGGACCTGGGCGCGGCGCACCCGCTGTGGCTGCACCCCGGGGTCGACCTCTGCTTCGTCCCCTCCTCCTCGTTTGTCCGCGCCGCCAAGAGCAAGGGGCTCACCGACGCCCAGCTGCGACTCCACGGGCTGCCGGTGCGGCACGACTTTGCGGTGCAGCGGCGGCGCGGCGCGGCGGCGCGGCGCGAGCTCGGTCTGCATGCAGACCGGAAGACGGTGCTCGTCGTTGGCGGCGGCGACGGGGTGGGGAGGCTGGGCGCCATCGTCTGCGCGGTTGCGGCAGAGCTCGGCGGACGGGCCTAGAAGCTGACACGCAGTCCTGACACGTAGTCCGCTGCATCCTCCGAAGTGTCCGCGGCAATCTTAGACTGCCACGCCGACCTCGGTGTGTTCATGACGTAGGCAAACGGGGCGAGCCGGTGCAGCTCGTCGTCATCTGCGGCCGGAACGCGCGGCTGCAGCAGCAGCTCCGTGAGACGGAGTGGGCGCCGTCGATTCACGTCGTTGTCGAGGGCTTCGTCACGCGCATGTCCGAGTTCATGGCCGCCGCAGATTGCCTGATCACCAAGGCTGGGCCGGGCACGATTGCCGAGGCGTCCATCTGCGGGCTGCCCGTCATGCTCTCGGGGCGCGCCGCATCTCTCGGCCCGTTGTCTCGCTCCTCACCGCCGCCTCCCTCCTCTCTCGCTGCCGCCTCTCTCCTCGCCGCCGCCCGCTGCTACCCCGCGCCCGAGGAAAGGGCCGGACCTGTCCCAGACATGCCTCCGCTCAACGCGTCGCAGATGGCGGCGCTGAGCGAGGTGCTCTCGCAACGCGGAGGGCTCACGCTGCTGCAGGGGCCGCCGGGCACCGGCAAGACCCGAACCCTCCTCCACCTCCTCCTCCAGCTGCAGGCGCGGGCAGCACCAGCCCTGCCGCTACCCACGACCCCCTGGCCCTGCTCGACCCGCTGCTCCACCCGCTGCTCCACCCGCTGCTCCACCACCAGCGCAGCCTCACCCGCCGCTCTCCCTGCGCTCGTCCT